TGGACCTGTTGCTGAAGAGCTTCAGGCGTGGTGCCTTGCGGCATCACTGGGTTTGCGTGCACGTTTGTCTGCCCACTGGGCATACCCTGATTCAGACCAAAGTTCGAAGCACTACTCATGACTCCAGCAAATGGGTTTGCGCCGATTGCGGCTCCTGGTACATTTACAGGCTGAACATATTGCGGTGCAGAAGCAGCTGGGTTTACGGACGAATTCATGTGCTGCTGATATGCATTCTGTAAGTTTGGTACATTGATTGGACTAGCCTGGGAAGGCATTCCAGGCGCTGCAGTAGTATTCGTCTTAGCCATATCTGCGAGAGCCTTCAGAATCTGCGATGTGTCCGCTCGGGGAGCACCAGCAGTTGCGATGTTCCCATTTGATTCGTTGAGGGGGATGAACTCCTTTGGGGGGGTTCCAGCGGGCGTCGTTGATCGAGGATCTACAGACAAAAGAAATGTATCAGAAGCCATATTACACCCAATTGCGTTTTCCTCTTTCTCAGAAGCAATTGATTTTGGGGGAAATCTTACCGTAGGGAATGGGAGCTGCTAGCTTCTGCTTAAAGCCGTCAAGCATGTTGCTCGGAAAAGTACTTCCACGCTCCCAAATGTCAATGAGCTTCAACAGTCTAGCCTAATGCGCAGAAGTATACGTGAGTATGGAATTACAGACAAGTACGGGGGAAGGAGGGATTTTCTTGTTTTTATGTCGACAGATCAGAGTGGCCACAGCAGCGCAAGCACCTATGCTGATGACCAACTGATCCATAGCCCCAAGCATGCTTTCTAGGAATCGTACCTTTTGTTCTTCAGGGCAGTTGGTGAGGATATCTGTCATGAAAGAAGGCAACAATTCAGTAACACGATTGACACCGGCAGCGAAAGTACCATCTGGTGCAGATGGGCCAAAAGTCTGCCCAGCCTTGCGTGCCTGCTCTACCCATGCTCGTGTTACAGAGTCTACAACATAGAGAACGCCTAGCTTATGTGATGCAGGAGCCTTTTTGAAGTGTGTGTAGACGCGTTGGATGAGGACGGTTTCGGACTGTAAGGAGGCAGGGAGGTTAGTGACTGTTGATTGAACGAGATGGGAGGGGTGTACATGAGCAGACGTACTTGGATGTTTGCATTGCAGAGAGTGGTGATGCTCGAGATCTTGCCCCCAGTGACCCCAGGTGGCTTCAGGGCCAGCATGGACTGTAAGATGGCGTCGAGCTCTGCTACGCAAGACATGGCTGCGATGTCAGAAGATCGATAGATACAGCTTACTCCAGCCAATTTCAGCTGTGCCTTTGATCGAGGAACAAATTACGGTCGCAGTACGACTAATTGCCTTGCCAGCAGAGGCGAGTAATGCCCTTTGTATTTGCTATTGAAGTGACAAAGGAGAGAAAAGAAGGTGTGAGCCTGAAGGTGAGTGTCGAAACGTGGTGACTGGAGGCGTAAGAGTGCAGAAGTGGTGAATAGTCACAGAACTGGTGCGGGAGTGTCGCACGAATCGAGGTCTGAGTAAGACGATCAACAGAGCCACCACAACCTGCAAAAGTACTGGTGATGCAAGATCTTGACCTCCGCTACACTTTAAACCGTATGCTGATGCGTGTTCGATTTTCTTCTTCCGTGTGGTGATAGAAGGTGATTGTTGTGGATGATGTTAAGGTTGGTAAGAATCAAGGTGGAAAAGCGGACAAGTTCATGACTGAGAATTTCACGCTAATGGAATCCGGCAAGTTCCGATTCGGAGTGCCAAGTGATTCTGATCCTGGTGGTGCCACTCGTCTTGAATGGGAACAGAGCAGCTGGTGAATGAGGTTGAGACCTAATAGTTGAAGACAAGTGGAGACATGAAAGCAGCAAGCAGATGGGTCTGACGCAAAGTCGAGAGTACACAGAGGAAAGGACAGGAGAATAAAAGTAGGTAGGTACTTTGAGACTTGAGAGTGCCCGAGATAAATCGGTAATTATCGGCATTACATACCTTACCGTACTTTAGACTAGCGGGCGGGCATTGTAGCCGGGCATTATTACGTTGAGCTGATGAGAGCATTTTCTTTTCCCTTTGAAAGCCCAGCTCTCTCAAAGCAACACCACAACCTAATTGACTTTTGACATTCCCATATACTACCATGGCAACAGCTCTACGTTTCAGCAATGCTGCCCTGCGCCCAGCATTGAGCTCCGTCCGATCTCCAGCTAAAACTGCCGCATTCAATGGCTTACGATGCTACTCTTCAGCTAAATCACAAGTAGGCTTAACGCCTACCGCATGGATGAGCTAGCTGACTGGCCTTCTAGACACTCAAAGAGTCATTTGCCGAGAAGCTCCCAGGCGAGATTGAAAAGATCAAGAAGCTGAGAAAAGAATACGGCTCCAAGGTCATTGGCGAGGTGACTTTGGACCAAGTCTACGGTGGAGCGCGCGGTATCAAATCCCTGGTCTGGGAAGGCTCTGTCCTCGACTCAGAAGAAGGCATTCGGTTCCGAGGGAAGACAATTCCCGAATGTCAAAAACTGCTGCCCAAAGCTCCTGGCGGAGAAGAACCATTGCCGGAAGGTACAAAGACCTGCGGACTTCCCAGACTCTCCATAAAGCTGATCGACATTAGGTCTCTTCTGGCTCCTTCTGACCGGCGAAGTTCCCAGCGAAGAACAAGTCCGAGATCTCTCAGCAGAATGGGCCGCCCGCTCTGACGTTCCTAAATTCATCGAAGAGCTCATTGATCGCTGCCCCAATGACCTCCATCCAATGGCTCAGTTCTCCCTTGCGGTCACAGCTCTCGAACACGAATCTGCCTTCGCAAAAGCTTACGCCAAAGGCATGCCCAAGAGCGAATACTGGAGCCACACATTCGAAGATTCAATGGACTTGATTGCCAAGCTACCGACCATCGCCGCCAGAATCTACCGCAACGTTTACAAAGATGGCAAAGTGCCTGCTGTACAGAAGGACAAGGACTACGCCTACAACTTTGCCAACCAGCTCGGCTTCAGCGAGAACAAAGACTTCATCGAATTACTGCGATTATATCTCACAATCCACACCGACCATGAGGGCGGCAATGTCAGCGCTCACACTACGCACTTGGTCGGCAGCGCTCTCAGCTCTCCCATGCTCTCACTCTCAGCAGGTCTCAACGGCCTAGCTGGCCCGCTGCACGGCTTGTTCGTCTCCCTTTCTACCCCTCCAAAACCACACCGCTGACTAATTTCGCAGAGCCAATCAAGAAGTCCTCAACTGGCTACAAAAGATGAAGAAGCAAATTGGTAGCGATCTCAGCGACAAGGCCATTACGGACTATCTCTGGTCCACTCTGAAATCTGGACAAGTCGTTCCCGGCTATGGCCACGCCGTCCTACGCAAGACCGACCCCCGCTACGTCTCTCAGCGCGAGTTTGCTCTACGTCACTTGCCTGATGACCCAATGTTCAAGCTGGTCAGCCAGGTATATAAGATCGCGCCAGGAGTTTTGACAGAGCATGGGAAGACGAAGAATCCGTTCCCTAATGTTGATGCTGTAAGTGGCCCCTTAGCTCTACCACAATGCAGGGCGCGAGCTGACTTCTGTTATAGCACTCCGGTGTTCTCCTTCAATACTACGGCTTGACCGAAGCTAGCTTCTACACAGTCCTCTTCGGTGTTTCACGTGCGATTGGTGTCCTACCACAACTGATCATCGACCGTGCGGTTGGTGCGCCCATTGAGCGACCTAAATCTTTTAGCACGGAGGCTTGGGCGAAGCTTGTTGGAGCAACGTTATAGGTAACTGCACGCTATGTAAAATTGGGCGGGGTGGTGAGTGGTAAGAAAACTGGATACAGAAGAAGGGAGGGGCTTGGTTTTAGCGATGCAAGTGTATTGCCTAGATTGATTGATGATATTGCGTCCTTAGCTCCAAAGATTGCATTCTCAGCTTCACCGATTCCAAGTGTGCCATTGCAACTGTGCTTTGTGTATCCATTCGTACCTCGTCAATGATTCTGTGCACTTTGACCCAATCGCAGTGTATAATGACCTTGAAAGCTGGGTTTCTATATCAGAATGACAGAAGGCGAAACTACGATCCGTCTCACATACAAGTACAAATCCCCCTCACCGAACACTTGTAGCTTGGCAGAAATCTATCACGAAGCTTTCAGCATCGTCACCAGACATTGCCGACATCGGTAATCACGCAATTCGATCATCTCTCTCGCCCTGATGGGCAACATCGTCGACGCTATCCGACGTTCCTCCTCTGCCACAAATATAGACTTCATCGCTTCGATGTTGTAATTACTCACTCCCTTTCTCTCTTAACTTTTATTCTTCCAGTTACTAGCTTTCCAGTCTGGTTTCCTCTCCTCCACCACGTCGCGCTGCGGTGATCCTTCGCTGCTCGGCAGATAGCTTCTCTTACTACATGAATTGTAGTACATCGGTCCGATGCTGTACGTACTTATCATCTATCCTTTCTCGGCATTGCTGACGTTTTTCAATTCACACCAGCTCGATTCCTTCTACCCTACCACATGATTTGTGATTATTTCTCGGCAGCTCGCCATCTGCTTCGAGTCACTGCGTAAGCACTTCTCTTCAAGCAAAGAGAGCCTCTTGATAGATTTCTTCTTTCCTCGTTGCACCTAGTAGTACACTGGATTCAAAATCGGGGGCATCTTGTCGTTGAGACAAAGAATTGATTTAGAAAGGTAAGCTAGAATTCTTGCCCGAGTTGAGCCATGCAAAGGGGGTATGCGCTGGAAAAGCCACAGAGTGTTATTGTAGCATGCAACATCTTGCTCCACTTCCGTTGCTTTCCAACAGAAAAAGCTATGCAGCAATGGGTGTCCGCCAGGCAAAGCAATCCGAGTCTCGAGATGAGATCCTACAGCCGCTCACAACAATCATTCGTTTCATGTCCGTAATAGCCAGCTCAATGGCCAAAAAGATCTTACCGTGTGAATAGCCATTCACACCATCAATGACGTAGTCTCGTATGAAATGGATCATCCTGGTGTACGTCACACGTTTCCCACCATCATGGCCTCACTTCGTTCCTTCTCCGCTCGAGACATTTTCCATTCCTCCCTGTAGTATTCTGGATTGTAAGGCTTGCGAGCACCGCCAACAGGCATATCGTCCACTACTTCCTCCCTCATCTTCCCTGCGTAATTTTCGGAGTGTTTGCTCTCGCAATCCCCTTCGCTCTGGATGAAATCCTTCAACAGAGCCCCTGCGTCCATGAAAAGCCGCCACTCTGGCAAAAGGCCGCCGTCACCGTCCATATCTTTTGCCACAAGTTCCCATTCGACGGCATTTCGAAGTATTGCAAGAACCATGCATCCTGCGAGCCACCGTAACTCGTCATTTGAGTGTGTGATTTCATCGATCTTTTTCACGTTTTCGCCAAACCCTGAGCGTAGCTTAACAAGGAAATTCCCGCAGCGTAGATGTAATCCAAAGTAGTCGAAGGTAAGAACAGATAATTCCGTGGTAATGGCAGTTTTGACACATTGAAGGAGTGGAACCATACCGATCTGCCAAGATTTGATCCAATGTTCACGGGCCGCGCGTTGTGAAGCGCTGTTCTTCGTAGGCTCCTTAAAGACAGCTTCGACGGTCTCGAAGGTCCACTTGATTGTGTTGTTCATAATATGTCGGTCTCGGAAGGCGCTGATGACTGCAGACGCTTCGTGCCAGTCTCGACCAGTCTTGGAGATCGACGGTGTAAAAGGGAGGCTCTTCCGGCCTGAACGTCTCTTGCCACCCTTCGCGAAGATCTTTGGCGAGATACCTTGCATGGGCATCAATCGCTTGAGGCAAGATTCCAGGTTGTTTGGGAGGCCTCCAAGGAAAAGCATTTCTGGCGTGATAATGCTAACGAAAAGATCCATGTCTGGCCACGCAAGGTCCAGGTTTGATGTCAATCGAAGCGCAAGGTAAAGATGAGTGGTGGGAAAAGTGAACAGAGAGTTTTTGGCAAACTCTACTCCCAGATTATGAAGCATGATGCCTAAGGGAATTTTAATCAGACCACAGAGAAGCAGGTCACGAACGAGAAGCCTGCGCGGTTCCGGATGATTCGCACATACCGTGTCGTGCAAGTAAACCGTTGCCTAATCTCAGCGTTGTCATCGAGGATGTAGCCATGGATATAGTAAATCGTTCTCTCGAAGCGAGAGTCCTTCGCTAGCCGCTTGTATTGAGAGCCAACTTGGGCTTTGGGTTGCAGCTGGCCTATTCTCTCTATATTCTCTAGTGTTGCTATCGCGTCTCGACCTGCGATTTGTAATTCCTGAAAAGCCTTCCGATAATCACTGCCGGTAACTTTGTTAATGTCAAGAAAGACCTGAGTAGCGAAGCAGAGCCAACCAGAAATTGACTTTTGACCCCTTGCTACTTCCCTAAGACCTGCTATCATTGTATCTTCGCCAGGGATGGCAAGGCCAAATAGGCCAAGGTAGACGATCTCAGTTAATGTCTCCAACAAGAATATTTCGTCCTCGGCAAGCTTTGCTTGGACTTCAGCGTAGGCTTTGCCAGACACCGTGGGACTACTGCTAGCATCGCAGTCGCTACGTGATTTCCTAGACGCCTCAGGTTCTACCTGATTTGGGAATCGACGTTCCCACTCGAAGAGGATCTGCGTAGTAGGCATGTAGATAAAATCTGCCATGTCTGTGATTTCGTAGTTGAACAAGTCATCTGGCGCCTCCTTGTACATAGCGTCCACGCCACTGACCATGCAAAATCTGAGGTAGAACAATAAACTGACTGGTCTATACTTCTCAAGCGACGGAAAGGCCTCGTGAAGTTCACCATCCGCCTGGCGGACCGCATCAAATGCAGTGTCCGTCACAGTGGATGCTGTCATGAGACTCGCTTTGCTGAGCTTATAGTCTTCCCATGTCTTCTGGATGAACTGGCGAATGCTTTGCAGATCGGCAAAGCAGCAAAGGACTGCAAAGCGTACGTCATGGTCCTCGGCCTCGCATACAACATGGCGCCGTTTTGGCTGCCCTTGCCGAGCCGATGTTGGAGTGCTTAAGTCGTCCACTTCTGTCTCTGTTGGCTCATGGACCTCAAGGGCAGCAAATCGGTTCTCCAGACTGGCTTCCTTTGCATCCGGTTTTGTCGTCCGCGAAACTTCGGGTCCTTTACAATAGGAAGCGTGCTGAGATTTCAATATATTGAGGACACCTTCCAGTGTATCGATGAAGTAGTCGTGCGTCGCGTTCGACTCGCGAAGCGAAGGGTCTTCTTCAGATGAGGCGAAAAGGCTGGAATACTCTCTTCGGAGTTTGACTGTATGCTGCAGTAGATTGACGAAGGTTTCTGGAATACTGAGTCTCTTGTTTTTGACAATGATGTGAGCAAGCTCTGTAAATTGAGCCAAGCGTAGGCGAAATGCTGGAGCAAGGGAGAAAGAAGATGACTCCTGTTGTTGGGCCTCCTTTCTTGCCTTACCTTTCAATCGACCTCCAAGCGCCTTCGGGGATATGTTCTTATTCTGGCAAGACGCTGGTCTGTAACCACATCGTTCAGCTGTCTCCAATAGCCATTGAGCGATCCTGTCAGTCTGCTTCTTTCAGCGTTTGCAAGTATTGTCGAAGAACAGATCTGACTATAGATATAAGGAGAGGAAGAGAGGCGTTAGACACCTGTGGGACGATTTTTCTGGTGTTCGACGTTGTCTGCTTCACAGATAAAGTCGATCTAGGAAATAATGAGAGGAATACAAACCGTTCTCTGGCAACAAGACGGAAGGAGAGGGCGCGAGGAAAAGTCAGCGTTAGTGTGGCCTGCTTTCCGTTGCTGTGCGTGCTGAGTCTGTGGGCAGTGATTGTCAGTTCGTCAATTCCTGTATGCTCGTTAATCTGTAGAATAAGTGAAGCTTTGGCGCGTCGTGAGGCTCTCGGCGACCGAGATAGTGGCCTATGGAGGTTAATAAGACGATGAAATGTTTTGATGAGCACTAAGCCAAAAGATTGGCCTGGTAGCGCGCCCAACCAAGCGCGCCAAGCTGTTTCGGTTAGCGGCTGGGGAGTGGACCCTGAATCGGCATGGGAATTGGGAACGGTGAGCTTCAAAGAACTCCGAAGACCTCGGCGATTATCAAATTCATCTTTTCCGCCGTACCGTCTTCATACCTTTCCATTGCGATTGGAGTTGCGGATTCTGACCAGTCATCCTCTACAAGACTATACTGGGCTCCAAGTCTCAAGCGAGGTCTGGTCTTATCTGGTTTGAAAGAGAGAAAGGATCCCCTTCTTCTTGCTGCAAGCTAGATTTGAAGGCTCGACCTCTGTACTTGTCTCAGCAACGAAGCGCCACTCTTCCCTTGGTCAGGGCCATAGTCATACAACCCAAGTGTAATGGCCGCAACACCAGTCGCAGGCTCTGCACCGGCAACGCTCGAGAAGAAGCCTGTCAAGTTCAGTAATCTTCTATGTGAGCAACATAGGACCAAACGCTGGTCTGGCAAGTCTGACATGGGTCTGATATAGTGGGTGCTGGTTTGAACATGTTTGAGTAAGTCCAGTTATGGCGTGGCGATGCTTGTGAGTGCGCTGACATCTTGCCTCTCCAGAGTCACTACTCTAGGCCAGGTACCATGAGCCCGCAGTCAAGCATTGTACCTGACGGCAGACTAACGCCGAAACCTAGCCTCTTGAGGTAGTCAAGACAACGATGGCGGCCAACAGAGGCGACAATTTCGTCGGAGCTCTCTCAAGAGTTTGGGGACGAGGCGGTGTACTAGGATGTGAGCTTGGCCTTCCTATGACTTTAGGCCATACCTTCACTAACACACTACCTCAGACTACCAGGGTCTTATCCCCTGGGCCTGGATAGAAGCTTCCACAAAAGGCGCAGTTCTCCTCTTTGTCGCCTCCGAAGCCGAGTTCTACGCCAAATCCTTCGGAGCCAATGACTTCGTCGGTGGCATCTCCGGTGGTATGGCCGGAGGTGTCGCCCAAGCATACGCTACAATGGGCTTCTGTACTTGCATGAAGACCGTTGAAATTACAAAACACAAGATAGCGGCAAAGGGCGTTAAGCCCCCAGGAACTTTTGAGACATTTATGGATATCTACCGAAAAGAGGGAATAAGGGGTATCAACAAGGGGGTCAACGCTGTCGCGATACGGCAGACTACGAACTGGGGCTCAAGATTCGGTCTATCACGTTTGGCAGAGTCGGGCATCAGGTCAGCAACAGGAAAGGAGGAAGGGCAAAAGCTCGGCTCTTTAGAGAAGATATTAGCCAGTGGACTTGGTGGTGGACTGAGTGCTTGGAACCAACCCATTGAGGTCATCAGAGTCGAGATGCAGAGCAAGACCGAAGATCCAAATCGGCCTAAGAATTTGACTGTGGGAAAGACGCTAAGATACATCTACTCGAACAACGGCCTCAAGGGTCTGTACCGTGGTGTGACACCTCGGATTGCCTTGGGTGTCTGGCAGACAATATGCATGGTGGCGCTGGGTGACATGTGAGTTGTTGCTCATGCAACACTCGAGTCCATCACTAATAATTTTCTATCAGGGCGAAGGAAGCTGTCGAGAAGCTCACTGGGGACGAAGTTACAGCCAAGCGTGAGTCATCTTCGACGCTCCCGCGACCTCCTTCATGACTTCATATTTGATCGCAAAAGAGGCATGCTGACTCCGAATACCTAGACTGAGGGGGAATGAACGTCTATGTACCTTGAATCCTGTACGTCGATAAGAAGCGTAGTATTACTCCTGCTGCCGCGCGACTTGTAACACACATGAGGCGATCAGCTTTGTTATTGAACGGCCAGCACGGCCGAGCTCGGCTTGTTCTCACACGGCGAATGGATAGAGATTGTGGAACAGATCCGCCATGTGACAAGCCAAAAATCATATTGCTCTAGCGTCTTCGCCTAAGACTCCCATTCTTATATACAGATCGACGCCAGCCCCGTGCCTTTCGCAATGCCCAATGCTGCGCTATATCCGCTCAGTAAGCACATTCACAAATGATGCATAACATATCATATCGTTACATGACTCCAGCAGCCTTGCTCTTCTCTCTATATTCCTCAAAGCTACCAGTTCCGCCATCTGCACTAGCACCATCGTCCTTTTTCTGGTCTTTGTCCGTCTTCGCATCCCATTCTTCTTCCTCCGCAGCAATGATTTGTTCAAATCTATGCTGCTGGCCTCTGGCGAGGTAGATGGGCGCGGACTTGCGCTGCGCAACGGCTTCAGTCATGAGGACGTACTTGATGCTTGAGCCTGGTGCCTCAAACATCGTCTCCGTCAACAACCTCTCACAAACGGTTCTCAGCCCTCTCGCCCCCGTTCCCATGCCCAATGCACTCTTCGCCACTTCTATCAAAGCCCCTCTTGTGAATCGCAATTCTATACCACTCAGCTGAAATAGCTGTTCATACTGCTTTATCATGCTGTTTCTCGGCTCAGTCAAGACTCTTACCAGCGCGTCTTCGTCGAGTGCCGATAGAGCCGCTGATACAGGTATGCGGCCTACAAGTTCAGGTATCAAGCCGTACGTTTGCAGATCTGTAGGCTCGACTAGATCGAGAAGGTTATATTCGGTTAGTGTTGGTTGGTCGGGCGATTGGGGTGCGAAGAAGGGGAGATGTTTTTCAAAGAGCTTGCTTTCCTCTGATCCGGCCTTCACAGAGATGGTGCTATCTCGGCCACCTGACGACACGGAAGATGATGAGGAAGAAGAGCGTATAGGCGAGCCGAATCCTATCGAGCCTTTGGCAATGCGATTCATGACCATTTTTTGCAGACCAGTAAAGGCGCCGGCGAAGATGAAGAGAATGTTGTCTGTGCGAACGTTATATGTTTCTGCTTTTGATGGGCCAGAGGAGGTATTGCCTGAGCCGGAAGAGGTGGAGGAGGGACCGCCCATCATGCCGCCGGAGAGCGGACTGTTGGTCGGATAGCTGGAGTTGGAGGAACCAGGCGCGCGTGCGGACTTCTCTTGCTTGGCTTGGATTTGGAGGGTCGTTCCTTCGATTATTTTGAGAAGTGCTTGCTGTACGCCTTCACCTCCAACATCTTTGCCGTGGCTGACTTTCGCCGTGCTAATTTTGTCTATTTCATCGAGGCAGATGATACCTCTTTCTGCAGCTGCAACATCGTAATTTGCAGCTGCTAGTAATCGCTGGACGCAGATTTCAGCGTCTTCGCCTATGTAACCTGCTTGAGTGAAAGGCGTGCAATCGGACATGCTGAAAGGAACCGCCAACACCCGGGCAAGGGTTTTGGCCATAAGCGTCTTGCCTACGCCTGAGGGCCCGAGGAGGAGTATGTTGGCTTTCTCGAGGGTGAGCGGTGATGCGTCGAGGATTGGGGCAGCGCCTAAGCCGGAAGACGGGGGGTTCAGAGGGATGGCTTGCTGGTGGCCCGGGAATTCGTCTTGAGCGCAATTAGCAAATTTACATTCTCCACGAGAAGTTTTGCTATACCCTCCATTGGATGGCTTTCAGCCATCTCCCTTCGTAGCTGCTGTTGTAGAATCTCATGCTCTTCATCTTCTCGCCGTTGCGACTCTTGTATCCTTTGATAATGATTGTATACGGCCACACTCAAAACCTTTTTTGCCCGTTCCTGCCCTACGACAAAGTTATCAAGATGCTCCTTCAAAGCCTTTGGTGTTAGTGTCGGCGCCCCAAGAATGGAGGCATCTCCAAGAGGCCCCGATGTTCTCCCTCCAGGCTCATATGACCCTGTGAATGGCTGGCCTGTGAAGTCTGAGCGGCGGAATTGGGAAGAGGAGCGTGATGACGTGGACGTGTTGAAGGAGCGGTATATGGAGGAGAGGGATAAATATGAGAGTCTTGCTTGGGGTTGAGGAGACCCGCAGGCAACGAGAAGGAGAGCCATTGACTTGGTTTCGATTAGGAATAAGCCATGGTGCTCTTAGCTCCTTGTATCATGCTGCCTTGAATTGAAGGAGCGTAGGCAGCAACCGCTCTCTTCTGCTACCACTTGCTTTGATATCGAAGCTTGCTCACATTTGAGACATTGTCATTGTCGCCGATACCGATAAGGGCAAACTTGAGGGCACGGGGCTGGCTAGAGTAGTTCCAAGGACTCGGGCAAACTCAGCGTTCGACCTAGCAAGTCCGGCGTACTTTAGCTCTCTTTTCGTTTCTAATTTTCTTCATTTCTACGCTTGCCATTGACAACGAATCGAACATTTTACGCTCGTTATGCTTCTAAACGATTCTGAGATCGTTGAGTATTGTGCGCCCACCCGGAATAGCACGATGTTTATCAAAAGGGGGCGCAATATCCTAAGATGTGTCATAATCATCGAGGGTCACAGCACTACCCTGACGTTGACGTTTACCGTAGGGTACAATTACCCCTACGGATCGGAATCGGAGCACCCTGTGTTAAATATATCCACTGTAAGATGTGGATATCCTGTAAGACGTACCAAAAAACAATTCTCGACACCTGGATCTTTTCTTAGACTGGGCTTCACGTCGGCAAGAAACCTTCACAATAAAGCTCAGAATTAGACAACACTGGAGCAATTGCAGCCAGAGGAAGCACACCGCAAGGAAGAACGGCACTAAAGACAGTGAGTATGCTACAACAGCAAATATAGTTCGACCTCGTCACCGAAAAAGTCGACTAGTGGTCCTGCTACAACGGCACTCAATTCTTATCAATCCTCTTTCTACTTCAGCTTACAACGGTATTGCGGCAAAGTATAAACTACAGCACCAGTTCCACAACAAAAAGATGCAGAACACATGCGTGAGAAGCTGGAGGGCTGAGAGCATGAGCTGGAGCATCAAATAAACTTTGCAAGCGCGCTACAGCATCTACCGGGCGCAGGACCTATCCAAACGCATACATCGTGGTGGCTCCACACATTGAATCTCAGGTACGTGCTAATCCTCCGGTGGGATGTTGGGTATCCACTGTACTTCCTTCAGGCGGCACGCTCGCTACACTGACAGAGACAACGAGTTTGCCTTGACAGATTTCAAGTTCCCCGCATCCCACCCTTTCTGCTCGAATTTGCTCCTGTGTTTCTGTGTCCCACGCTTCTTCTTAATTTTCTTTGCCTGAGGATATATCTCGCTGATATATCGAAATCGTCTCACCGAAAAGAACTTCTTAGTGGTAGCGGCACAATAAG